CGCGCTCCTCGTAGCTGTCTCCGGCGCATGCTGCCGCCATCTTTGGCCCAGCAGCCCTCCACCAATTCTGTCGCGGCTGTGGACGCGTGTGACGTCCGCTCTGACAGAGTGAGGCAGTGCTTTTACACGGGAAGGGACGCACCTGAGGAACTATGCAGGAAAAATGGATCGAGATGAAGAGTTGAAGGGAGATGTCCCAAGATTTCGAGCAGTGCGGCAGTGCCCGGACATCTGATTTTTGTTGCACCCCCCCAAAAGAAACACAAGTATGCTCAAGGGATCTAAAGGGTCCTCCTGAAGCTGATGGGACATGATGGGGACTCCATTTAGGTAACAGGATCCCTTGCCTGCTTTGGATGATGTCTCTGTGAAGATGCCAGAGGAATATGAGAAGAGCCCTGCAGTCAACGCTAGCATGACATAAGCGTTTGTGACCTCTGATCAGCTTGCAGCTTGACTCGGATCACACCACCTGGGACCTAGCGACTTGATGCCGATGCCGGATGTGCCACAGATGCCGGCGCTTACTCTCAGGTGGTGTCAGGCCTCATCATTCACCACGGGTGGCGTCGTTTTCACCCAAGGATGTCCAGCATTTCAAGGCTGTAATTCTTGGGCCAACCTCCAAGACTGACACCAACTTAAGCACCATGTTTCTGTGTGTGTGCCTTGCAAAAGATTAACTTCAAGCATGGATTCTCCAAAAGCTCTTCGTGGTGGCATTACCTTAAACTTGCACAGACTGAGCTCCTCGAGACATCGAGCTTCGTAGGCGAGACATCTCCGTCGAGGAGTCGCATACCCAGACACTCCATGTATGGCATATATGCCTACATTAGGGCGTTTCAGGGATCAATGTAGGCATATATTCCATACATGGAGTGTCTGGGATACATTGTTTGACACCTCCGGTATCTGTAACACCAGAGCGACTCGGATCCAGAGCGATGTACACGAAACACAGAGATTCTAACACAGTTCAGTCACTTCAGAGTAGATGATGCGGCCATTCCAAGTACATTCCAACAAACACCTTCCATGGAAGTGGATGGCCATTCATGGCCCACTGGGAAGACTAGTGGCCTTTGAAACCGTGGGCGTGAAAAATTGTGCTGAATCAGAGGGCAGTTGAGAATCAAACATCCTAAATAGAAGCAACTGTGCTGAACCTGAGCTCATCTACAAACCACAAAAACGTATCACACGTTGCAGCTGTCATCTGCAAATGGTTCGCTGAAGGGTAAGCAACAGAAAAAGCCAGACCGAAATCAGAACACCTAGTTTGAGCATATCAACACTCACAGGCACAAAGCAAGTAAGCAAAGTACAAGTCAAATGACTGGACAAATGACATATCTTTACATTTATATGCAGTACACTCATGTCCAGATCTGGTCTCAGCACTTCTTCAACCCACTCTCAGTGGCATTCCTGGAAGTTGGCTGATATCGCTATATCATCAAACCTGTCTGCGCATTCTGCGTCTTTCCTTGCTTAACTCCTCTTCGATTCCTCAATTGTATCTGCTTTCCCGGTTGAGCTCCGCTACCATCTCTCTTAATCACACTCTGTGTTCTTCGGATTTTGGATCGCTTGGAGATATCTGTTTCGAAGATGATTAAAAATTGAGGGTCTGGGCATTCTTTCTGTTGTGAACAATCCTTGTGGATCTTCTCTGTGTAGCTTTGCTTTTCTTCTTGCGATCAGTTCTTCTTCGCCGTCTCGATGGCTTATGCTCTTACACCGTCGAGAAGATCTGTCAGGTTAGGACGCATTGTCCGGTCTGTAGGCACCCCCTTCCAAACGATTTGACAACCCAAGTTGCAAGGTTCCGCAAAAAAGAACGTTCAGGAAAGGGTATTGGAACATCACACCAAGCGGGTGGTTAATACCTGGATTAGCCTGGATTGAGTCTCATTCTGACTTAGAAACCACGGTTGGTAGCCACCAACCTACCCTGGTTATTGCATGTTATTGCCACCCTCCTTGCCTTTAAACTCCAGGAGCTGACTAAACCCAACTAGTGCGTGTAATTTCATGTTATTTCATGCTATTTCCAGTGAATCTCAAGCTTTGCTTCGTAGATCCAAGTCAATCCAGACACGAAACAGGACAGTTGCTATCTCTCCAAATAGTTTAATCTATATATATATATATGTTATATATATATATATATTATATACATATATATGTGTGGATGTGTTCAATGTGTTCCTCCTTTTCACCGACCAAAGACCTGACCCCGACCATCCTCCAAACCGCTCGGGTTCGGTGCCTCCTTCGAGCATCTTCGTTTTGAAGACACAGTTCCTGGGCGCTCCGCCCGGGATGCGCCCGGGACGGGCGACAGCAACACGTCGATCGCGGCGGCACGGGACGACATGAGTCTGAGAGCATCTCTGAAACGCAAAAAGGGGCGTTGAACATGGATTGAGAGCAGATTGTTCACTCCACAAACCAAGGGGGGTTAAGGATCCTTCTCGGACTGTGAGGGCAAGCAGCATCAAGCAGCATATCCATCTCTATATATATATATACCTGGATCTTCCAACTGTGACCAAAAATCAAACCAAAGGCGGAAATTTGGCATAGTTGGAAGATCATTTCGATCACCCTGCTATTCGGCTCCTTTCGGCTCCTTTCGGGTCACTTTGGATTACTGGAACATCACAACCCCTTGAGCTCCTTTAGGGTACCATCGGGTGTCCTCGTTTGGGCCCGAAAAGAAGCCACGCCGATGCCACGGCGATGGTCTCCGGTGTCCGGCGATACCCGGCATTCCGGGAACCGGTGGGCAGCCGGGGCACGGGTCGGTTCGCCACTCAAACAAACCATCAAAGGAACCTTGACCCTCACTGCCATAGGAAGAGAGTTGAGTAACATGGTGCTGTTTCTCTTTCTCAACTGAATCTGAACTGCCTTGTGGGCGGGAGTGCGGCGGAAGTCACTGACTCGTCACATCTCCTCCGCGCCGACTCCTCCGCGCCGAGGGACTCACACTCCTCACAATGGCTCCGATCAAAGCCTGAGAAAGGCGAGGAGTATCACGAGTGGGGCGAGTGAGTTGAAGAAGGATTTAAATGCTTTAGTGCTGGCGATCTCAAAACTTTTTTGGGAATCCTTATACTAAGCGACAGTGCTGACAGTCAACGATGTTCTTCACCATCTATGGAAAAGGCTCACAAAAAGCAGCAAAAATAGAAATTTCGGACTGCGCGGCGACCGCCACTCCGGTCTCCTAAAAAGACGGCAGAGAGTCTTTCCACCTCAAAAAATACCTTTTTTAGGCCAACCAACGAAGGTCAATCTCTGACTCTGAAGAAACTCAAGCAGCCCGATGGCGACTGGCGGAGTCAGGTGTCTTCCACAAGCAAAACCCAATCTTGAAGAGGTGGCCTCGTTTAGGGCCCGGGATGCTGGGATGACGGATGACCCAGGTTCTCAATGTAACGTTAAAACGGTGGTCATTGAACTCTTCCATCTGTTTCTTTGTGATGGGGCTCCTCGAATCGCCTCTTTTCAAAATGGGGATGCCCACACTCGCAGTTATGTCAAATAATACTCAGTAAACCTTCCAGAAACTGCTGAATTAAGATGTCATGCGTTAGCACTCATCACAAAACCATGGCCACCCTTCCAACTTGAGGCTTAGCTCCAAATTACCAGCCCTCAGTTTCCCGGCTCAAATCTTCGCATGTCCCACCTAGGCCGCGGTAAGAGATGAAACATGCGTGCTTGTTCGGAAAGGACCACAGTCTGTCAGGACTATCTCTTTAACATGTCTTCCAACCCAAGTTGTTCTTTCACAGAGATCAACAAGACCGTGAATTCCTGCAACAAAGTGAACTGCCGGTACAAGCGCCCCGGAGGTCCATTTAGTGGTCACATGCGCCTTGACCTCATAGAAATCACGACCTCATAGATGAAAAAAATCGCTTTGCAAGTTGCACGTACCCCGAGGGCGAGGACAAAACGATCTGCGGATCCGGCATTTGGAGACCTCTTGGACTTGGTACGTGCCCTCCTGCAGCTCCTCGTGGCGTTTTGCGTGAAGGTGGGGTTGGACAAAGAGAAAAACACATTGAAAAATGCAGAGGTAGTACTCTGCCAGGTTTCCGAGGATAGCCGTTCACATGTCTGTTGCAGCTACGACAGCTACGACCCTTTGAGGAAGTCACGACAAAGTGTTATTTAAAGAAGATGCCCACTCCTACAGTTGTCAAATGGCAATGCCCAACAAAAACGACATGGCTCACAATGCTCACAGTGATTCCACTGCTTTGCAAAAAATCCAACTCGTCCATATATCTTGAGGGTCACTCATGTTAACTTGCGGCCCCGTGGTTTCAATGCAAAAGGGCCGATGGGCAAAGAAGTAACCACCGTTTCAGAACGAAGACCGGGCACATCCAGGTTGTTATTCACGCAGGGGACCTGGCGCCCCTTTATTAATAGATGTAAATTGGGGAAAACAACCCTCAGAGTAAGTAACCTAATTCCAGGGGTATGACCAACCCTCAAATCCTACTTATGCATTTTGAGGCCATTGGCCACAGACATCACTATGCTATCTTGCATGTAGGAAACCAATCGTTTCATAAAATGAGGAGATACTGAGCATCCAGGTGCAAGGAAGTCGCTTCAGTCTTGTCTGAAAACTTCGCTGTCCTGTTTTTGTACGTATGGTTTCTCTGTCTTGGCTTACACTTCATGCCAAGATCTTGTCTCTTGGCAGCTTTCACGAGCATTCCAGAGACTCCCAAAGACCCGAAAGGATCACTGTGGCAGTGAGACATGTGTTGGTGGTCGTAGGTTGTTATCAAAGAGGATATATTGCGTGTGTTTGTGCACACTTGCAAGCCATGAAACCTGATGAAAAAACAAAAGGCCACAAACCAAAACAGGTTGAACAAAGCAAACACTATTTGACGCAGCAAACATCAGCCGTGGAATCCAAAATCGTGCGCTTTGGGAAGCCAATCTGGTCGAGCTTTTTCAAGGCGCGCATCTTTGTCTCTAATCATTCTGCTCCCACACTCTGAACAACTATGGACCATGGACTATGGCTCTCTGGGTTGTCATCCATCTGCTTCGCCTGCGTCAACTTACAGAAGATGCACCGCACCTTCTCCCCTTGTGACTTCTTCAGTGCTTTGTGGCTCAAGTTGGTCTTCCGCACTTTGGCCTTCTGGAAAGCCAGCGCGACTCTCTTGAAGCTGCGTCTCTGCCTGGTAGCGCAATCACACTTGCGGCTTCTTGCAAATGAAGACTTCCAATTCTCAACATCTGCCCTCAGCATCCATCTAGTAAGCTCGACAAAGAGGTGGTCAACGCACATGTGGCCGATGATTGCCTAGTGTCAAAGTCTTGCTAAGACATCTTCGATCTTCAACCATATTCTCACACTCTTTAATCAAAAAAAAACAAGAACCATCAAAGTCCCAACTTGCTGGTTTCTGCGAGTTTTGTCGACCAAGGCGTGCACGAGGCAAACCCAGAGCACACAGAAAAGGCCATGGACAGTACTTGACAGCACCATACCGAACCAAACAACGTACTTGCCAAAAAAAAAGATGCAAGCGGAGAGCAGCGAATAAAGAGTAGCTGAAGTCCTTTTCATTCCAAGCTTCTCCAAATTAGTACCTCCCGACTCGGCAACGTCTCTTGGCCCCTCGGCGTCACCGCGAAACACCAGAATACAAATAATAACACTCATTCAGATTATTCCAGGCTACCTGTCATGGGCTCATCCTGCAGTTGCACAGGGAAAGAAAAGCTGACACAAGGGCTCGCTGCGATATGGGCTTGCCTTCACAAAGGCATTGAGCCACTGTTAGTATAGAATGCGGTGCAACAAGCCTGGGGTTAGGCGTTTGTCTCCTGCACGCTGAAACCTCCAGAAAACCTCTCCTGTCTATCAGGTCCATTTTGTCGACTGGTCCCATCCGCTCATTGAACTTTTCCTGCTTCTGCTTATTATCGCCTCTGCAGGATGACAGCTGGAAGGTGCGAATGTCGAACTACATGGCAGAGAACACAGCTACACTGATTCGATTTGCCCTGACCTCTCGTCCACACACCTTCGCGACCATTGAGAACGCAAAGGGGACCACGCTTTCAAGCTACCAAAAGTGGTCTCTCTTCGAGACTTTGCATTCCGTGCCACGCTGACGTATCTAGGCTTTTTTTTTGGCGATTTGGCTGCGTGCCACCATGGTCGTTTTGAGCTTGGTGCGCTTTTTGGTGAAAGAGTTTTTAACGTGCATGGTATTTACTATAGAAAACTTCACGTTTGAAGATGTTTGTTGGTTTAAAACCTTTTCCTTGCAGTGACAGCAGCGCGCGCCGACATCTTTTCTCGTCACTTCGTGTGTTTGCTAATCGCCTTATACTTGCCGAAATTGCCAGCTTCGCACACAATTGAGCAGTTCTGGATTCATCCCATAGCATCCACATCGAACGTTCATCCCCGTAGCATCAACCATGAATGGTATTACCCCAGCCCATCCAATAAAGACACATACCTCCCACGACTCCCTTGAGGGACCTACAATTACCAACAACAAAGTAATATGGATCCCAGCACCAATTGGACCACCGTCCCCAAACAGCTGCCTTTTCTCCCTGATTTCGTCTGAGGGGTTGACCTTGCGGTCCGGCGGGAACCGCGTGCTTTTCGGCTCCTGGCCCTCCTCGTTCTCGAGATGCCGATGCGAGAGCGACAGCTTGCCATTGGGCGTGGCGGCCTGGCCAGGTGCCGGTGAGGCCGGCAAGGGTGGCCAGGAATCGAACGAAGGGAGCCGACGGTGCGACGGGGCGACGCTGAGGTGAAGGCCATTTGACTCAAATATTCAGTCAAGCACGCGCTTCAGCGCTTGTTGAGCGCTTTTGGAAAGAGAGATCCGATCAGGAGGTGCCAGATGCAGGGTTTTCTGTGTCTCACCGTGTCTCACCAACTTGAATGTGTCTTGTACAGGCAGGCGAGCATATTTTGTTGCACAAAGGGAGCCTCCAAACCAAGCAGTGAGTGTTCGAGTTCCGATTCGGTTGCCCGTTGCCCGCTTAGAAGTTCAACCTCACAAGCCACACAAACAGTTCAGACACTTCATGGTCCCTCACACCATCGTCTTCCCCAGAAACCATCTATTGACAAAGCATTGACCCCACACCCGTCTCGCACCTCCACCGGTCCCGGTCCGAGAGGAGTGGAGACCCTCCCCAGTCCGTTCCAACCCGTCCTCTCCCACTCTGCCTTGACACACAGGCAATCCTCAGGTTCCTGGCAAGGCCTTGGCTTGACTGAGAGAGAGCCGTTTTCTGAAAAGAGTCGTTTCTGGAGCAGGTCGTTTCTGTGGTAGCACTATATAACTGGTTATTCTGTCTCATGACATTCTGGTCCACACCTCAAGCTGCCACAAACCTTTAGAGGTCTGTGCCATATGAGCACAAACCTTTAGATAAGTGTAGTCTAGTCATGAAAAAAGTAAGCAAAAAGGATATAACATGGGGCAATCCGAGCACCCGTAGCCAAATGGCAATCAATGAAATTTGATCCACTCTATATCCTTGATGGTGATAGCTTTGTATGATGGACCATGGTGGAACAAATACTGCACGGTGTTTTGTGGCTCCTCTTGTCTTGATTAGATGGCCTTGCACTCCCTGCCAAACGGGTTGCTACAACTTTTCATGAACTACCAATCAGGGGACAGCGGCCAGAAAAATAGATGAAGCTTGCCAGACCAAAGAAGTATGCTTCAGGAGTTGTTGGCCGCCAAAGTGAGCCGTCGAAGCGCGGACAAAATATGGACGATTCCAAAAGGTCTTCCTTCTGCCTCGTGCCATCCAATTTTTAGGCTGCGTCAGGATGACAAGACCTGCTCGTAGAGGTCACACCCTGCGTGTTCGTGCCCCCACATCCCTATTCCCTTGGCGACCCTGCATGCCAGGACCAGCCTCAAAGCCTTGCGCCGAGTAGCAGAATCCTGCCGAGTAGCGAGCCCACTCGAATCCGGCTCATATTCCTGATGCATGGGTGTTGGATAATTAGATGGATTCCTAGAAACGCACGGGATATGGCGGCTTTGTGCAGGAGAACCATGAACAGATCATGAGGTTGGTTCTTGGATGTTGATGTGTCCTCTATGAGTGTGTTCTTGGGGATGCTGATTTTGGAGCTATAGACAACAGTTGTGCTCCAGTATACAAGTAGATTGAATATATATATATATATATATTAAATTATATATATATAATACAAATATAATATAATCCTAGTCAAGGGAAGGTAGTCTTTGATTGTTTGATGCTTGAATTTGATATTCAAGGATTCCTTTCCGGCATGTCCGGCATATTCACCATGAGCGCCAGCTCGGACACCTCATATCTGATGAACACCCGCAGCACACCCGGATCATCTGGAAGAACGTGTGCTCGCCATGGCCAACTTGCGTGAAAAAGAGGGACCTCATGAACTGCCGAAGCAAACACCGAGAGATATCCTCCATAATCCCCCTATGTGATAGGAACCCTTTTCCTCCCAATCTCCTCCACATTGACCAGAACGGCCTCCAGGCCATCTACGACTCCACTCGCTTTCGCCCGCGTCTCCTTGCTCTTCCGCTGGGTCGCCGTTGTCCTGGCGAAGCGCGCGGCCGATCCGGCGAACCAGCCGCAAAAGGTGGAACGTGCTCACCCCAATGGGCCGCAAGATGGGTCGTAGTTTGAGACGTAATCAGCTGGCTAGGTGGGATGAACCTCGTCAGCTCGTCATCTCAGTTTCGAACGAAGGATCCGTGCCCGAGCCGCGCATGCTCGGGCAGCTGCGTCAAGGGGTTCCAACCGTGGCATGGCTTCGACTTCGATTCTTTGCCAGGTGACGTGGGCATTCCTCTAACCCGAACGGAGTGTTTCCTCTACATTCGGGTCCCACGGTCACAGATTTCAAACAGATCCCTGAGGTTTTTAGTGGAATAGACCCGTCCTAAACCCATCGCCTCACGTTCAACGACACCCCGACCCGCCCCGACCAAGGCCCGCCCCGACCCGCTCCTTACACTTTCCGGCCGGCGTGATCTTCCCACGGGCCTCGGCGGTCGGCGTTCTGTGTCGTCAGCGGGGTCCGTGTGGATCCGGGAAGGCCGCATTTACGCGACTTCAGAACTAGATAGATAGTCACGGCAGGACCCCTGCTTATGATTGCTTAGGTTTCCCCTGCAAACGTGATATATCGCGATGTTGGACGACTTCCATGTACACCTCCCAAAAACTATATATATATATACATATAAGTTCAGCTTTCTATGTTAGGCAGCGGCAAGATTGCTTCATGCTGGTGTGCTATATAGTTGTTATTGTGTATTAATCTCCCAGGTTCGGACGAGTTTCTCCTGTTGAACATGTTCTTCAGCTGTGCGGATCTAATTGAGGCATCTTGAGGCTCTGTTCAGACCTATACCTATATAATGAGTCTTGAAAGAGACCCCCAACCGAATGGTGAGCTCCTTTACCTGTCCGAATGTGCGTCTTCGGCCGAACGGCGCGCCGTTCTTCTCACTGACCGGCACGACCGGTGTGATGATTTCAGATTTCTCGACCCCGCTTCCGAAGATAGGAACCGATGTCCGAATGATCTGTTCGATGATTTCGCAAGAAAAGAAACAACAACAACCTTCGTCGGCGGAACTCGGGGCGATCGACCGCGGAGGCACCAAGACTGCAAAGTGCTGACGGAGGTCATCAGGATTGCTTTTCCTGCTTTACAATATGATACCATGTGCACCACCACTAGACATGGAGGACCTGGAATGGGCAAACCATGAACAACAATAACAACAACAGCAGTCCACCAATGATACCTGAATGCCAAATACACTGGTCCTCATTAGTCTAATGAAAGAACAAATATATATATATATATATATATCACACAACGAAATCCCTTCTGCATCCACTCCACCAAAAAAAACATCTCATCGGGCTGCCCTGCGGGACAACCCACCTGCAGATGGGCCAAGTAAAGCTCCAAGCAAACAGTTTGTGTCATGTGGCAAACCTATTTATTTATGTTGGCTTGGGGGAGGGTACATAGAGTATATTTATACAGTAAGTGTAAGCACAAACAGAAATGGCGAGAATCAAAAGCGATCATAGACTCATAGACAACTTTCTTCGAGAGGGGCCACGTCTATATTAGTCGGAGGCCACGTGAGTGTCTGTATATCCACCCCCACCTGTCTATTGCGAGGATGCTAGATCACCATACTGTCGCTTCTTTGCCCTGCAACCCACCTCACTGCAAACTAGTCATGCAGCTTGTGCATGTTCTACCCCAAAGGACCACTGGAGAAGACATCCATTTTCACAAAGGGTTGCCCCCAATACCAACTGCGTTGTTCAGGACTTCATCTGGGTCTTCTACACTTGGATGTGCCATTGGTTAAATGTTTGGGCAAGTGATTGGCGTTGACGCGACCCTAAATTCTCACACATTATACACTGTACTGAGGCAAACAAGCTCTGCGTTCTGTATCAGAGCCGGCCCAGAGCACCCACACCTTGAGCTTCCACAAAACAATGTGCAGACACTGCCAAACTCTCCAGGGGGGCTACCTTCTGATAGACCAGGAAGCTGTTCAAATCCAACTTGTGAAAAAAAAAGTAAAATGAAAAGATTCAAAGAACCAAAAACAAGCGGCTTCCAGGGGGGGCCACTAAAAATACTATCCGAAGCAAACCCATTGATGATCCATGAGTCCATCGCGTTGTCCGCGTTGTGTTCCAACCCTCGCTTGCCCAACTCAACAGGCCTACCGGGCCGTCCGGCCCGTCCTTCTCAATTCGGTGTGCTCTTCAAGAGTCTACAGTGGGATGCTCGCATCTATAGAGTTGAGTCACCTGCTGGATATCAATCCGGTTTCTCATGTGTCTTTGGTCCTTCATGGTCCTTCTGTCCTCTCATTCCAAATCATTTCGCTGCCGATCCGAAGTGGAGCGGAGGATCCGACATGGCAAGTTCCCTGCAGCTTGCTCCAAGACCCCGACCTGGACCGGTCAGCATCGGACCGGTCACAAAACCAAACAGACACCGTACCGCCGCACCTCATAGGTCTGCAACCAATTTCTGAAGCGATCGGGGTCCGAAGGCTCCATCCTGACGACAAAAAGCCCCCCCCCGGCCGGTCCAACGGGGGTTCGCCCGCGGCGTGTTTGTTCCGGGAGGAACAGACGAAGAGGCGGCCCGGCTTGGTGGGAGATAGACATGTCCATGAAAGTTTAGAGGGAATCCGCTGAATTGTCTATCAGTTTGGAGGGTTCACTTTTTCTAGATCCGAAGGTGAAGAGCCCCAAAAGAAGAACGTGTCAACAAACATCTGGAAATCCGCTGACGGGCCAACCTAAATGTCTTCCAGTTCGTGTTTGGTGCCAACAGCTAGCATCAGGCATCAGTTCTTTGGCACACCCACATTGATCTACATCCCGCACCACTTCAACTCCTTCACGTTGCTGTTGAGGCAGGTAAACAATACAAAGCATCACTGAGATATGTTCACACCGTGAAGGTTTTCTTCAGGGCTCTCCGAAAAGAGGGTATGTCGAGAAGGGTACACTCTTTGAGAGTCAATTGGATTTTTGTTTATGCGTTTATGTATGTTTCTAATCCTTGTTCCAATTTCCTGGGGGGCCAACATGTAGAAGGATCCTTGGGTCGAGCTGCCTGACCTTTAAAAATCAAGTGCACACCACCTACACCAGGACCCACGCTTGGGGTGACTAATGGACACCCCGAATCACCTCTAAGGGGCTAATAGACACCATCCAGGGGGCCCTGTCAGCCATACGAAGCACTGAGGCGGCGGCGACCAAGTCATGAAACCCCAACCTAGCGATGGCCTCCAACCTAGGAGTGATGGCCTCCAACCTACTAGCTTCCCTGACCCCTGAGCTCCGAATCAATGTGCCCTCCCTTGGGGCCACCAACGACTTCACGCCATGCTCCTGGTGATAAACACCATCATGGCCTGTCACAAGCACAGCTGGGAGGAAGACCGCGATAAGGTGGAGATCCACATCTTTACCTTAAGCTTCGAGCCATCGTCGTTTCAGGTCCCCTGGTCACCTGGTCACACTCTCCGCGCGCGCTGGAAGAACGGAGGTCTATCGCTTTGCCTAGAGGGAAGCTGGTCAATTTGGAGGCGCAGGTGAAGCCAGGAGCCTGAGAAGTGCCGGTGCTTCGGCGCTTCGCACCGTTCGCAGCGGTCGCAGCGCCATGAACTACAGAATTCTTCGGTTGGCTCGCCCTTTGCATACACTGTGCAAGCATGTGCAAGCCACAAGTAGTTCGTTGGTGAACAAAATTGCCAACCAGCTTTGGAGATATGGAAAAACACTTGGACCCATGGTGGTGTCGAATGAACACCTTGAATCACCTCTAGGGGGCTATGAATGGACACCCCTTGTGGGGCCCTGGTACATACATGTAAGCAGAAGTTCACAAGTATATAGATTAAATAACCCATTCTTTGATTGGTACATCATCACCCCTTGTGTCCCAAAGAAAACGAAGACACCAGGGGCGCCCGAGCGCATTGGACGGCCCAGAAGCTGGAACTCTGTGGCCTCGGAGAGGCGCAGAACTCGATGCGCACGGCACCAGGACGCACCAGGAGCGATGTGTGATTCACTCCTTAACCATCCTGAACCTCTATAAGGTTTAATTGATGGACACACCAAAGAAGAGTAGGGGGTCCAGGTGCGCACCAACGTGCCTTCTTTTGTTATGTGGAGGTGAACCAACTGTGAGATATTCAAGAGCAACTCTTCGATCTGACTGGGTCACTGTTTTAGGTGGCGGCAAAAGAGCATTGATCCAGCCTCGAAAGACGAGTAGCTCTAGGATCCATGAAACATCTGCCACAAGAAAGCCGTACTTTGAGAGGGAAACCCCGAACCAAGGGGTTTTGGTAAATTTTCCTTCTTACAGGCGGTCTTTGGGAGGCCTTCTTTCGGACTACGGTTACTCTGAGCCGTGCATTTCATCACACTCAGAGCCCACGCAGAAGAGACTGCCAGGCCGCCACCATGGCTGCGCCGGCTGGCGCCGGCGGCTGCCGTTAGCCACCCAGCGGCTGCAGCCAAACAGGCTAGGGTACAAATTTCTTTAAAAAAAAGGAAACAAATTGTTCGAACACTTGGTATCTAATGGTATGTCTCCTGTAAAGAGCTGCAACATATGAAAACTATATATAATATAGAATGAAACACAATGAAACGAGGATCAAAGAAGGCCATCATCCTGTCTTTCACATCGACCCTTAAGAGCAGCTTGAACCGAACAGGCAGCTCGTCGGTTTGGACTTCTGTGCTGCGCCCACAGCGTCAGGGGCCCTAAGGATGGGATGCACAAGGCCATCACCCAGCTGCAAGTGATGGCCTAAGTGTTCCAACCGGTGTCTATCAGGTGCTTGGTTGCTTTCAGGGACTCTTGGCACTTGGACAGTTTAATTGTTCCACCTGCGGCTTCACCTGCTTGATATTTATACTCCGCGAAGTCATAAGCACACTCTAGTCTTTCTTACCGGAAAAGGGTGGTCCGATAAGCCACGACGAAAGCCACTCAGCTCAACGACTTTCCTCTACAAATACAGCACAGTTCACCATTCGACTTCAAGAGGCCTATGTCCTATGATTGTCTCGACCAAATGGGGGGGGTCAAGGACTTTTGAAGCCTCAAAGGAGGATTCCCAAGCGAAGACACAATGAGTAAGAGTACGTAATAGGAGGTCCGTCCTCGACGGACAAGAACTTGGGTATATCATCTACTGATATCTACTGCTCATGGAGTTGAACAGCCTTTCACAAGCAGTGCATGTCCCAAGCACGGTCCCCTTCCGGTGCTTCGCATGTGCTTCGCATCCCACCAACCCAAAAAGCCCAAAAGGGGACGGGGAAAAGGTTCCACGAGACAGACCCCGGAGCATCCGAAGACCGGATCTCGATTTGGGCAGATCAGAATGCCATGTCTTTGGCCGATCAGAAGCCCTAGGGATCCACTGCCACCGTACCTCAGAAGGTCCAGTACTTGGACCCTCCATGCCTATATGTACAAGTCTCCAATCACCTTCTCAGAGGGTATGTGGATCCAAAGGGAATGATAGAAAACATAGAGATCATAGACGGGTCGATGCCAGGTAGCATATTGCCTATTGATGGTTCACTGCAGGGAACCAAGAGTAATAAAAGGCCACCCATGTTCCCAAATGCTGCCAGTGGTCCAAGTCACTTTTCCGGTGACATTGACCTCCAGACTTCCATCTTCAATAAGCGACCTCGTGCGGCAGACCTCGTGGGGAGTCCACTTCAGCTTCATGAATCCAAGTCAGCTACCGGCTAAGCCACCGGCTAAGTCAGCCCCGACGTTCGTTCTAAAGGATCCCCTCCAGAAAAGGGGAAAAAAACAACTCCCAAATCCCCAAATCCTTCCTTTTTCTTCGATCCAAATCCGCTCCGGCATCCGCATCATCCGCACAACATCCGCACCGCGGCTCCCCGCCGCTCAAGCGAGCGCGGAGCCGCGCAACTCGGACACCACGACCTGAGTCGGGCTCGGGTGGAGCGGAGCAAAGCCCCATGACGATCTGGTCGTGGTCGGGTTTTGCTATGACACCTCAGGTGTTGGACACCATCTGAATGTAAAGGCCTCACTGTTGCCGCTCTACCCCTGCGATGTGAGAGCCAATTCCTAAGCTGTGCTTCTCCACAGACGGGGATGCACAGCTTAAGGTCTCTGAAATCATGTAACGATGTAACCACTTTGATGACACTACAACACAACGAACAACAACTCAATGTTCATAAGATCTGAGCACCGAGGATCGGCTGTCCTGACTCTGGAGGGGGAACTTTTGGGGGGGGTGACTGAGACTGGCCATGTATTTGACCTGGGTGTTTTTGGCTGGGTTAGACGTAGACGATGCTGTTCTTAGCTAAAACATCTTGAATGGCAGCAGTGTACCAGTATCAGAAGTGAGTAGGTTGTTCTGCCATCGCTACGTTCGGAGCAAGGAGCAAGGCAACGTAGCGAGGTGTTCTCTTGCTGATCCGATTTCCCCCTCCTGGTCCGGTCCCACGGTGCCAAGGGGCGCTCGCCATGAAGAGCAAGTAGAGACCGGCCAGGCTAAAGGTCCCAAGCCAACCCACCTGGACCCGCAGGAGGGGCGGTGAAGTCGTCGGTTCGGTGAACCAACGCGTTGGTTTAGGGTTACGGGTTCGAGTGGGTGTTGGGGAGGACACAAGGGATCTTGGGGAAGAATGTTCTTGAAAGTCGTTCCTAGTGAAAGTCGTTGTGGGCGTCTGAAGTCAGTTTTTCCTGAGAAAATCAGAAAACAATCCATACTGATAATTACTGGAAGACAAGCTGTTCAGGCTGCAAAATTGTTCACTACAATGACTTCGGATGGTGTTGATCTTTGCCATTCATGTCTGTTGTGATGCCAAGGCACAAACAGTACCCCTAAGATCCCGTAAGATTTGAGACTTCTTTGAAAGAGTTCTAACACAGACCGGGAGTCAAGCCTCTACTCGGATGTTTTGCTTTCAGGTGCTCAATTTTGTTGAACTCTCCAAGAAAACTGACCTCCCAAACTCTGATTCCTTCCGCCAACCTGGCAAAAGTCACCCCCGAAACTGGCTACCACAACCACCACGACCAACATCAACACCACCACAATCCGCCACGCATGCCATCCGAAGCTCCCGAAGCACCCCCCCTTGTGTTCCTCCAAACACCCACATCCCAACCACATCATCTGCCAATGTTCTTTTCCTACACCGCTTTCCCATGAAAAGCCCTCCCCGTCGGGAAAAAAAAAGCGTTCTCAGCGCGGGAAAAAAAGCGTTCTCCGAAAGCGCTTCACCTGCTTTTCGAAGTTCAAAGCGCCCAGCAGCACCACACAGGCCACGATCGCCACAGCCCCAGCCTACAAAAGGAAGAAACGCCTCGAAAATGGGCAAAGTGTTCATGAACCAGGTCCAGGCTGTTCCGTGCTGGGGATCCTGGCCCCAAATGCGAAATCTCCCCTCAACATGAACATGACCCAAGAAAGCACTGGCCCCTAAGAAACATCCTGCCAGTGGCTCGCCTGCACTGTTGATGAATATATATCCTGCTGCAACACTGCACTTGTGTCGAAACACCAACTCACGGCCAATAGCAATGAGAAAAGAATTGCGAATGGTCGCATGGTCGGAATCTGGGGTTTCCTGGACACTACTTCTTCGCTACCCCTACTAGTGATCCAGTTGGGAAGTGTTTCGAAGCAACTACTCTATATATGATATTATTTAAGATAATATAAGCGTATTACTCGTATGATACTGTCCCCTTCAAGTTTCGCCCTTTGGTCACGCAAGGGGTAGTCCACCCGATTTGAAAACGCCGATTCGCCTCTGGTCGATCCAAACCACCCTCGATCAACCCGATCGCCCCGAGGTGTGTACCGGCGGGGTGTCCTCCCCATCAACCTGATTGGTGGGGGACTGTTCTGGTGGATTTGGATCGAACGAGACCGCGGGGGTGAGACCGCGGGCTCGTCTCCCTCTTTGAGCTATACGTGGGTAGGCGTATTCGCAGGGCTCTCCACGTGGATGGCGTCTGAAACGAAACGCCCCACGGCTCACCATGTTTCACCCCCTGAGGGCGCCTTGAGCTGCCCCATGGCATCTTCCAGCGCGATGACCTGCCTCGAGAGAGGAGAGAGAGTCTGACTTCCACCGTTTTCTGCACTGGTGGAAGTGGTTTTCTCAGAGTGAGGAGCACCAAGCAGCGATGTTTCTCAGGGTTCCTACACCAGCTATGAGTGGGAACAGCACCCCACAGCACCCCAGAGTCTTTACGCTGTTCCCATCTAAGGGTCTCACCTCATGGGCAAGCTCAGGCTACTGACGGCCCCCCTCGGCACCTCCCAGTGAGTGACCAGTGTGAGCTCTGACTCGGGTCACGGGGCCCGCGCACCGGGCCCGCTTCACCGCCCGCTTCACCGCCCCGAGACACGGATCGACAAGGGGCCCGTGGCTGGTGGTCAAGATCAACGTAAGACCTCCGGGTGCTGCGGAGAAAATCGACACCCCCGGGTCCACGTGACGAGCCAGGCCAAAAAGGAGGGAGACAGCCAGTTCTCTGCCAAAAAGGCGTGATCGACGGGCAATCCGGGGCCTCTCGCCCTTTTAAAGGCTTGCCCAATCTATGTCACAGCCCCCCTATAACCCTGTGGTGAACCGCACCGATGATGGAACCGGACAAGTGTTTTTCTCTTTTCTGGATCCCGTTCATGAAGCACGTGCGTGGCGTGAGTCATGATGTGTCAAGAGAAAATACAAATTGCATGGCACCACGAGTACCAGGGTATACCTGGGCACCCACGACAATGCTACGCAAATGCTACGCCCTATAACAGAGTAACATGGAACCAGAAGAACCACTAGGTGGTTGTAAACGATGTTCTGGTCCATGCCAGGTAGGGGGGAGACCCGGGTCTCTATCCTCACCACCATCGGCTCCTCACGATCGGAAAATCAAACGAACGATGTCTTGGAGAGATTGGTGGTGAAGTTTACGGAACTCAAAGGAAGCCAAGATCGAGCTGTGGTTTTCCATGGTTGTCCCTTTTGTTTGGGCATGTTCTGGTGGAATGGAATGGGTGATTTCTTCAAGACCGAATGGTCAGAAATTGGCAAAAGTCTGTGAATTCCCTTTGCAGTCAAAAGACCCTATTTATATATATTATACATATACGGCGACCATGGGCGACCAATTTTTTGGAAGCACACCCAAAACCGGCCGATCAGCAGGAAGTTGATGTCGAGCGCAAATAGAAAAGAGCAAGAACCCTTTGAAACCTCTGAAGAAAAGTGAATCGCTCATTTTCTCAAGCCGTGCGTGGGAATTGGGGTGAAACAAAAAAGACACATGCAGTAGATATATATATATATATAATTATATATCATCCATCTTGGCCAAAGGCCGCCTCAGTTCCAAGCCAACACCCGTATATTCCTCCGTCTGCGCTCGATCCGCCGCCTGCGCTCACCAGGACGTTGAAGAGCGGAGCGGCGAAGAGCGCCGTGGCCGCTGCCTCGGACTGGCCCTGGCGGGAGACGGAGAGGCCGAAGGCGGGAGCCTGGTGATGGTCGGGAAACCAGGGAGGCTCGGTGCGAAACCGGTGTAGAGACTCCGTTGAGGTAGAAGCGAAGACTCGGTGTAAGACCAGGAACCAAGGAAGGGTGGGTAATTGATTCAAAGAAGCGTCTCCAGTGTTTGTAGGCGGGCCTTTGCGCCTGAATGAAGAATATCTAATATGGTAATGTTGATTGATTTCTCAGGCAGGGTTTCCTAGCAGTTTGCTGCGGCTGGCAAACACCTTTTCTAGTGCAGAGCTGCAAAGAGGTGAGCATTGAGGACAAACCCAGCCATTCCTGAACCAGCTCCATTCGCACTCGTGACAGGAGCACTCTTTTGCCACGATTCTCTTGCAGCCTTGGAATGCGTTTCTGCCAGAACTGGTCCCAGAGATGGACACTGTCAACACCAAAGAATGACATTCCAGGAAGGCACCATCCCCAATGTGGGTCACTGAGTTCGGCATGGTCAAGTTGGCCAAAGAACTGCAACCCTGAAAGGCAGCATCCCCAATGTGGGTCACTGAGTTCGGCATGGTCAAGTTGGCCAAAGA